TACATTTTAGATGATTGAAGGCTAGTATTGTATTCGTTTGTCACTGAGGCGTTACTCTGCTAAGGATGGCAGCTTAATTTATTTTATTTTTATTAAATTAATTTTCTATGCTTTTTTGCATTTTCCCTTTCTATCCTTAGTACTACCTGATTGCCTCCGAAGCCCGAAACCAATCGAGTATTCTCATCCCAACTCACCTCAAGCATGCGCTTCTCCTTTGCAAGATCAAAGCATGGACCAGATAAATATACCTGAGTGCCAAGAGGTACGGGCCACGACACCGGTATTAGCAGAGCAAGAAGTAGAGATCGTTGGCGGAGAGGATGAGGAAAGTGATGACCAATCGGCTTCAGAGCCTCCAAACTGGAGATATTCCAGTCCTCCTAGCGTCTTACATCCCGAAACAGTAGTTAGATCCTCTGGGCCAGAGTATTGGGACAATTTGCCTCCAGGTAGCGGACAACAGTTGCGACCTCAACCACCAGGTGGCATTGTTGCCACACATCGCAAGTCTCCGGGAGAGGATGCCGGTAGGATTTTACTGATTGCATTTGTATGCCAAATTTTGGCAAGGTTGTCGATAACTTTGGGTTTTATGCATTCTCATTACATAACTGTCTTTTTCAACTTTCTTCATTAGATACAATTCAATTAAAGCATGAGTGGTTTCATTCGAATCACCTTATCCTATTTATGTAATAAAATAATAGTTTCCGCACATTTTTTCGTAGACTTTTCATGTTGATTTTTTAAGCCGATTTTCAACTATTCTATCACTTAAGATAAGTTTATTTATCATTTATTTTTTCATTTAAACGAAATGAGTAATATGCATTAACATTGAAGCCTTTAAAAATTATTCGCAAACGACAAGCTAATTTAAGAGTTATAAAACAGTACTGGTGAGTTCGATCCCCAAATAACTCAACACATTTTGATCTAGTCTCTAGTATATGCGAAGGGAAGTTAGGTTTCGATGACTTTCTTATTTCATAATTGTTTAGCTTACTTCCATTTCTACTAAGAGTGTTTTCTAAAAAGATTCTAAGTTCGATCCCACCAGAAGACGACAGCGGATTCTCTTGACCA